CGCAATCCCGTCGTGGGCGAACAAATGATAATTGGAGACAACAGCGTAGGGAGTCATAAAAGTGAATGCTGTAAAATTCACGAAAAATTGGTTCGGATTTATCCTTGGTCCTTGTTTATCGCCTGGTATCATAGATGGTTTACTATCACCTTATTTGCAATTGACTCACGCAGAGATTCGAATTCGGTTCATGCAAAGAGGACCAACTGGTACGCGTTCATAGAGTGCGATCATTTTTGGAATGCTCAGCTTGTCCCGGTTTCATTCGACTTATTAAGAATACTCATGTTTGCGTGATCTTCGATTGCTTTCCGTAGGATTCGAACTTGGGCTCGGACCGACAAAACAACGGTGTAGTTTTCTTTTCTTCTTTAGACTATGGTCTTTTCACAGATGCCACGGCATTTATGAGGAAGAACAGAGTACTTCAATTTTTCGCCACACATTCAAACACACTGTGGTCATGGTTTGACGATGAAGGAGAAAAACGTTTCCGGATGCACAGAAAGTTTTATTTGTCATGCAAAAATAATAATCACATTTTCATTGAGAACGACAACGTGGCGAACAAGCTCGTTTTCAGTTATTCGTAATCATCCCATTACATAACGTTAAATATGACTAGAAATAAGAAACAGGGAATGAAAGATTCGAGTCTAATACGTGTGCAATCACCTGAACTTTGGACTCTGTAATCGGTTTCACAAAAACACAAGCACGCGTGACTGGAGCCACAGCAGAACGATTAGGACTAGAATCTATCATTCCCTGTTTTGTTCACATTGTTAGTCATATTTAATTCTATGCAATTGCATGATTACGAATAACTGAAAATGAGCTTGTTCGCCACAATGTTGTTCACAATGCGTTCTGTGGTACTACTGAAACGTTTGAAACAACTACATTATTGCGAAGGATTCTCCATCAGAGTTCATGCACACATTCTGAAACCGAGTTTATCATGTGTGTGGGGATGGTGTGGATCGCTCCCGATGAGATCCGGATGGCTTTTTTCAATTGTGTGACTATCACTCGTGCATCCTCCTCCGCCATCGTTTGCACAACAGCAATTTTGTCCGCTGTGGTTGCCTCCACTGGTAGACCACACCGGGTCTCAATATCCAGAGACCGCCGGTCACGCTTGAATTCGACAAACCCCTCAAACACATTGCTTTCTAAAGGGGCTTTGTCACCAGAGACTGCTCATGATGCAACTGCTTCAAACCACATTTGTATTTGTAGAAAATCATCGCCTGCAAGCGTCATCGATTGAGTTCCATCCTTACAACAGTTCTAGTATGGTATGACTTGTGAGTTATTTGCGGCTGTTGATATTTGGTCTTATGATTTGCAATCAGTGAACAGTATTCACAGAACAGATGGAAGTTGACGTTTTCCTTGTCCGGCCGTCTACACCTCGTACTCGTCGTATACTGCGCGTCCGAGAAGCGCTTCGTTTAGCCCTCATATCGGCTAGTGCTCCGTATTACGAGTCGAATGCTGTCTAAATGGGAAGCACAAACTTAGCCAAACTGCAGCCCACACACGAACCTAACCTACGCCCTGATAATGCATGAGGTATGAGGCTACGATAAGTGTGAGTTTCAATAGACTGGTAAGATCTCGTGCGTTCGCAATAATCAAGTGTGTGAAAGCGTTTCTTATGGTATGAATGCGTTTCACGCTCATTAGAGAATAACGGTTTATAGCCGCTAAACACTGTTTTATTTATAATATCTATTTTTATTATTATATTATTAATTATTATTATTATAATTGTTACACGCACGGAAGATAGTTAATTGAACGGTCCGACGGCAGATGCGCNCCGTAGTTGTAGTACTGAACACAGTAAATCTCTTCCGGAGGTCCTGTTCATTTTTGACCGTCTTGATTAACCGCCAGTCGCATTCGTTTTCGCCATCCAAACATACTACTCACTTATTTGAGTGGTACCTCAAAATACCAATACCACTACGGAGTGAATGGACTGTATTGACCTACGGCAAATGCATTCTTCAGAAATGTGCAAGAACCAGTCATTTGTATTTCATGTCATGGTCAATTTTATTACTTCCAGAACTGTAAACTACGTTTCGAAATGACCATTCGTGAAACCTGCCGTTTCAGAATTCATTCAAGAAACCATAATCCCTCCCCTTTAGTGTGAGAATGGATAAAGAAGACCACTCTTCACACACGTTAAAACATAAATACGACACCCGTTAGTAAACATTTTCTATGGGTGGGTATCATGTACACCCCGCAATCGCTTCAAACGTGACGGTATGGGACAGGAACGGGGAGCTGGAGGGTATTCTTGATCGGACGTTCGAAAAAATACAAGATGTGGGTCAGACGACCGTGTGGGAAGAAGTTACACAGACGACACAGTCAATGCTAAAACAAACACGCGCGTGAAATGCAGAAACATTTTTTCAAAATAGAAAACAAAAAAAAATGACTTAAAACGTGTAACTAAAAATAAAAGCGAAATTGTCATAGGTGAAAGAGGGTAAATGAAAGCAGACTAAGTAGTTAAACAGGCAGGAGAAATCGAGCCGATACGGGGATTGGGAAACGGATCATAAGTGAAACGTACAGGCATTTTGGATCAAAAAGATATGAGAATAATTATTCAGAAAACAAACAGACGGACAGACAGACAGACAGACAGACAGACAGATAGACAGACAGACAGACAGACAGGCAGACAGAGCCAGACAGACAGATCGCTAGATAGATAGAGTGAATGAGTGAAGATAAGTCGAAATCTTTGTTGGTTTGTTTGTCGGGTTTATAAAATAAAATAGTGAATATTTGTACAAAAATTACATGTCAGAAGGAAGCAACTGTCACGAAACAGTGACCGTACTCTCGTGTAGGTTTATGTGGTTGTGTCGTTATGAATAATGAGTTTAGATACATGTGACTAGAATGTTTTATGTGTGCATCACTTTTGAACAAACAAATAAAATAAAAACAGATACACGAGACCAACGCAATCCAATTCAAAACGCCGGTGGCCGAGATGAAGAAGACGATCGGTGGCCCGCCGGGTGGAAGGCGGGGGGGGGGGGGGCGGGTGTTTGTGTGTGTGTGAGCGAAACAGAGAAAATAAACGAACGAACAAAGCGTATGGGGTAATGGCATAACGCGCAGACAAACGTAGACGGAAGCTGTTAGAATAATGGAGTATATATTTGGGGAATTGGTTGATACCAGTTTGGTCGGTTTGTTCGTCTCTCGTCAGTTCCCTCGATCGATACATGTGCCTTAGCACTCTGATTTCAGAAAGGTATCGGCAAATTCGGATGGTGGTGGTGGTGGTAATGTATTATTCAATGTGCTCGTATGGGCCGCCATATCCGCAAGTGGCTCAGACGTTCCGATTGCGGTCAGACCCATCCCCACCGCGGTCACTGGCAATGTGGATGGTACTAGTGTATGGATTGAGTCTCGCGCTACCGGTATTGATCCATAGATAACCGAATTTGTAAGCGGTTCAAAATTATTCATACAACACGCGCTGTTCGTGGATGGGGCTCGGGAACACATAGACGGGTAAATATGTTGCAAACCATCCACTCCTGGTCGTGGTGACATCAGTGGACTGAGGATAGGTGGTGGATTGGAAGCCTCTGTCAATCCGTTACCGAAAAGTACACTAGGGCGTAAATAGTGGTCAATCATTGCGTCAGACACTGGGGGACCAAATGAACTGGTGGTTAGCCGGGGCAGATTTGTGTATTGCGNGGCTGATGACGGTAACGTATCTGGACGACCTAATTCTGAGGTCACTCGGCGTAGACTGTAATGACGTGGTAGAGTGGCAAATCGATTAGCGTCTTCCGACCACAGATTGTCTGTACGTGTCGGATATGCATCCATTGCCGAATACCGTGCTGGAAGAAATGTGTTATGCAACGATCCACCATATGCCGGATCCCGATCGGCCGAATCACCGAACGTGGAAAATTGTGTACCGTTTAACGAGGGCAGACATCCAGGGTTAGAGACCTTCGGGTCTTCGAAAGCGTACAAACGTGACGGGGATTGGTCCACGGATGCCCATCGCTTTGGTTGAGCCATTAGCGAGCCTGCACACTGTTCGTCCCATGTCAGTTTATTCGGTCTAGTTGGGAATGAACGACAATTGTTGTCCATGAACGATAATGGAAATGATCAATCGATAAAGAAACATAGGCAATTTCCAGTGTACTTTCCCGAAACCAGCGTTGAACAAAACGTGAGTGATGATCAACTGACTGAGAGTGGATCGTGTGGATAAATGTGAAGGTATGTACGTTTGATCGATTATTTCTGGGTTGTATATCGGGGGGGGGGGGGTTGACTCACAATAATCTATGCAAAGTCACAAACAACGGTAAATGATGCTGCTGGATACTGGAAGGCGAAACACTGTATTGAATCAACTTGTAAGACAGGTGTCGGCTGTATTAGTGACGATATATAACATCTAACAATACGGACGTGAAATCGATTGCTGAAATCTGTCCGTGCAAACAAGTGGCACGATGTGAAGTTCACCACCAAGCAACTTCGGAGTTTTAATGCACCGCCAGCTCAGTGACTACTTGCCCTACTGGAAATTCCAACATAGATGACACGGTGATATTAGTCGCATTGAGTACTCTTTATCCACCTCAACAATACAGAAAGATGTTACAACTATACGCCCCTGGTTAGGAAGAACACTACTCACTGAACTGGAACGGGTTGATGGTGATTATGTTCTTACTATTTACAGGGTCGATGGGTGGAATACAGATCAGTAATCATTAGGCCCGTCAATACTGTCAAGGTCGATAGCGAAGCCCACCAGTCTCATGTGACGCCCGATGCGAGTGCACTGTGGCATGATTTGAGCTCTGATCACAAAAGAAATCATTTGTCGTGAGATGTTAAAATTTCGTTCGATCTTCTCAATGGATGATTTCAAAACAAATAGCCTCTATATAGCGATTAGGTTGTCATTTAAGTGAACGGACGTGCATACAATCATACAAAGATTGCTAGAATTATAGAAATAAAAGGTAAACTCCAAACTCCGCAACATCTTCCTACCTTAGGGCACCGATTTAACAACAAAACAAAAACAATGAAAGAACTCCAAATTAAAACAAACTTAAGATTTCTGAAACTAGATAAAGAGACATTTACATCTCCAGAATGAAACAACTTTCAGATACCAGAAAGTTCCAAACCGACAATACATTTTTTACTTTACCACGGCTGGCTCCTTGGAAAAGATAAGCCGACTCCATGAATGTGTAGGATGGCCGCTATCCATGCTTGACGGTTGGTTGCAATATCCTTGCAAATGTTAATCCATTCTATTTGCCATCAGCGAGTGCCGTACACCATCCGAAGGCCAAGTTGATCGACGTATTCGAATACAGTGTCTCCAGCCAGGTTTTTACTTACCCCCCCCCCATTGTTGGCGGCACCAGCCTGGACATGGTGTCGGAGCCAAGACAATACTCGCCTAGTCATTGTAGCCATTGTAGGTTGAGAGACGGGAAAAGTGGCATCCATTTCTGAGGTCCGAGTTTGAGACCCTATTCCGCCAGTTTACTTTCAGGATGAATCAAAGACACCGATGATCGAAGACCTCCAATCGTCGGATGTCAGTGGCCAGATTTCGCAGCCTTATAGTAGGACTGGTCGAACTGCTGTGGTTTTGAGGCTAATCTCGTGTCGGCGCCATAGGTTGGTTCGGAGCTGCAAAATCGCAGTTCGGGCCGTATGGACGCGCTGCTTTACACCATCTTTGGCTTGTCCATTAGGCAGTATGGTGAACCAAAGGTACGTAAAGACCGGTACGATTTCTATTGTCCGATCATCCCGTTGCAGAGGATGTCCCGCTTGATCAGGTGGACTAGCGAAAATCTTGGTTTTGTTAGGGTTCATCTCAAGATCGATCTGTTGCAAATCTTTTGGTACGGATGAGAGCTGTTTGCAAGGCGTTCAGGTCCTCTCCAAACACTATCACGTCATCGGCGAATTCCAGGTTAGTAATGCAGAAATCCGCGGAAACTTGGACGCCTTAGTAACCTTAGTAACCTTCCATTGCCCGATGTAGAATCCAATAAAGAGAATATTGAACAACACTCGAGATAGCGGTAATCCTTGTCTTCTTCCGTACCTCAGATCAAACGAATGAGACTCTTCGCCGTAGGCACGAATACGGGCTTTGTTTTGGGTGTAATAGCATTTCACTATATTGACCAAATTTGCAGGGACGCCATCTGCAAGCATTATCTTCCACAATGATTCGCGGTCCACTGAATCGAATGCGGCGCGAAAGTCAATGAAGCATGTAGCGTTGGGGAGCTGAAACTTGTGTCGGTGTTCCAGGCAATAATACACTGGACGATGATCAACTCACCGGCGAAGACGGAGAGCCGATATCTGGGGCTATAACCTGTTTGATGGACCACTGGTTAGTCACCAAAAACCCTGATTTCAAACCAACCAAGAGGAGGCGTACGAACTACACCCACACCTTTTCGGTTGTGGCAGTGGTCACCGACTCAACTTGCCATCTAGGTGTGTTGGTCACCTTGGACGTTTGACGCCGTCCAAAGAGCGTATGGTTCGATGAACTGGACACCGGCTCAAAATGGGTTGCGGTTTTCAGACCGTCCCACTGCCTTGCAGGTCAGGCTTTGGCCAGCCAAAGGCTCCGGTTGTGGATTCCACAAGAAAAATCACCTTCCTTCGCCTGAGCAACCTGGAAGTATTCCGCATCAATGCAGATCACGGAACGCTTTTCTCTAAAGATTATTGTGGGATAATTTGTTTTTTAAATATTGGTTACCCAGAAAAGTTTAAAAATATTCACAGTAGATCATTCCCAAAAGATAACCTAACCAAAACGTCAGTAAAAAGGCCATTTACTCACAGCTTGCGTTTGAAAGTGACCACATTCCGAAAGACGTGCAATAAATTGGGTTCAGTTTTATGAACCGCAAATTCCCAGCTGCTCAACTCAGACTCATTACCTCTACTAGTGGAACTGATCTGGACAAATACAATCATGACTGGCAAACCGGTTCTGCCTCACACACTGCATATAAAAATTCACCTGCAGTTGCAGTGACACATTCATAGGAAGAACATTTCAAATAGAATAAAGAGTGGGGAACAAGCTCGTTTTCAGTGATTCGTAGTCACGCCAAATAGATCACAATAAATATCACGCTGTTTATATGTAAATCAGTATTCAACCATAAAAATCAAACAATGTTTTGGGAAACGGAAAATAACCTCATAGGTTATCTGGGGATATTGTCGTCTTCGAACCAGATATCTATTGTGATGTATTGGGCATGACTACGAAACGTTGAAAATCAGCTTATTCGCCACTTTGTTCTATTTTAAAATGTGCTGTGTTAGACTAATTTGACAATATGCAGAACAAACTGTCAGCTCTCACAAAAGATGGTCGAAGCTACTCCAGAAAGATTGGTGAAAGCGGTGACTCAATCGATAATAAATGATCAAGTGATCACAAGACATCCAGGTTCATCTCATGACAGCAAGACACACAGTTGTCAGCAATTCGTTTCTCAACTCACCATTAAGTCATTGCAATGCTAAACGTTTGACCATTAGTGAAACGCTATTTATTCAATTACATTACCCTGCCTCGAGGCGCACCAACGTTTTTGATACAATGGGTACACTACCGTGGAGTTGACCTTCTACTTCTATATCTATACTTTTTTTCAATTTCAGATGTCCGACAATCAATTTGAGATGTCATGTTGCTACGTGAATAGTACCTTGCACAATACAGGGTGAAGACGTGGCCTCAGTCATGTCGAGATGACGCAATATGGCGGCTGATATACAACGGAAAAGATGCAAGCAGCAGGGCCCTTGTGGCTGAACTATCCGACCGATCGATAAATAAACCCGATCGGACGTGTGATTTGCTGGTCAGCATAGGTGGAGGATAAGTTCTGCATCGGATACTGCTTAAGTGTTGGTAGAGAATCATCACAAAAGAATCAGTTGTGGAACAATA